AACATTTAGTAATAAAATATAAAATGATCGACACTAAAGCATATAGAAAATGCTAAATCTCATGTAGTCTTTTCTGCAAATAAAGTCAAATAACATAAATTCATGAACTAAAAAGCCTGAAATATATTGAACTATGGCTCTATACACAACTATATATTTAGAAGTCTTACTATGAAACAGTAATGGGTCTGTTCAGAAAGCAATTAAGCGATTTGTACATATCTATCTGCATTTGTTTGTGGTTACTCGCCATGTCAAATAGACAGGAGGCTCAATCTGTATCCAATAGAACTGAGACAACTCGAACCATTTCTAGTGCTTATAAGATTTGAATAATTAAGAAAGATTGTATTATCCAAACCTGTGCATTAATAATCCACATCTTCCATTGAAGATAACATCATACATGTGCATTTATTTGACTATTAGTGTGTGCGTTACAGTACAAGAGTGAGCTGCTGCCCACGGTGCAGGCTCTGGAGTCGATGGGCTACGACCTGTACGCCAGCCTGGGGACCGCTGACTTCTACACAGAGCATGGAGTCAAGGTAACTGAACATATGCTGTATACTTTATTTAATTAACGAAAAGGAAAGTAAGCCGGGTAATTAAGATTGTTATGATAAAGTGCATGTTCCCAAATATAATATTTTGTGACTGACCTTAAGTATAATGTATTCTCCTTTCTAGATGGTATGTAAAAATACAAAATAATCCTGACTACTGATCGTCAGTATTTTACTACTAATACACTTCATCCTTGTAATTGAATGTAAACTCAATTGCCTCTAGGAGATTATCAAAGAGTGTCTTCCTTATCTGAATACAAAAAGATGTATCCAGTCAGACATGTGTGTTTCAAAGAGGTTAAATAAAATAAATCCCATGTGATAAATGAAACGAATGCAATCATCTACCCAGTGTTTATATGATCCAGACATTAAAATAGCAGTTATACAATTATAAAACAATAACATGAACAGACAGTAATCAAGATCTATTGGACTCTCAGATGTTTAACCGTTCTTTATTGGCACTAGAATAACTCTGTAGAGTAAAAGTCTGGATCTATGATTTAAGTACTACTAACGGCCCGTCCACACGGCGGCGTGCGTTGAAGCTTCAACGCTTCTGCCCATTCACTTTGAATACAAGCTCTAGCCTATCAAACCGCCTGCTTGTGTGTCCGGGGTGGGAGATTCATGTGATTGGTTGTTGGTCGAGTTTCAAGCTTCAACGCACGCTGCCGTGTTGACGCTGCATTATAACATTAATAATAATAAATTATATTTCTATATCGCTTTTCTTGAACCCAAAGACGCTTGTTGCCTGAGTTCTGAGTCTCATAGAGGTTAAGTCAGATAAAACTTCATATCATCGTATCAGAAGTGCTAAATAACATGCATCATCTACCCGGTGAATATATGGGTCGGTTAACACATCATTAGCCGTTATTTATATTGACCAATCGTATTATCAAACCATAACTTAATTAGCAGGTATCACAAAACTTCAGCAATATATAGTTTCCCTGCTTTCCCTGCAATATATAACTGTGTGTATTTGTATCTGTATGTTTAAAAAAAACCTAACTGTGTGTATTTGTATGTACCTATATAAGAAGCATGTATCCAAAACACCGAGTGGAAAACTGAATTTCCCCAATCTGTAGGTGAAAGCGGTGGACTGGCCGTTTGAGGAGGAGGAGAGCGACTGCCCCAACAAAGAGAAGCAGCGCAGCATCATGAACTACCTGGAGGAGAACCACTTCGACCTGGTGATCAACCTGTCGGGGAGGATCAGTGGAGGCCGCCGGCTCTCCTCCTTCGTCACCAAGGGTTACCGGACCAGGCGCATGGCCATCGACTACTCTGTGCCGCTCATCATCGACATCAAGTGCACCAAGCTCTTTGTGCAGGTATTATATAATGCTTTGATAACTGTTAGAAAAATATCAATTCTGAATTTGTCTTAAAATTCTGAACTTTCCCAAAATCTCAAAATCCTGACTGTTTGACACAAATTCTGACTTTTTCTCAGAATCTCAAAATTATGACTTTTTGCAAAATTATCACTTTTTCTAAATACTTAAAAATACTCAAAATGTTGGCTTTTTTTGAAAATCTGAAAATCCTGACTTTTTCTCAAAATCCTGACTTTTTCTCAAAATCCTGACTTGTTTCTCTAAATTCTGAATTTGTCTCAAAATTCTGAACTTTCCCAAAATCTCAAAATCCTGACTGTTTCTCAAAATTCGGACTTTTTCTAAATACTTAATTTTTTTCTCAAAATGTTGGCATTTTTTTTCTGAATATCTGAACATTCTTAATTTTTCTCAAATTCAGATTTTTTTT